AATGCTCTGATAGTCATGGAAATAAGGAAAATAAAGAAGCAAAATCTTTGATTAAAGTCGATCAATGTTCTCCAACATTTCACCTTTACCAATGGTCAACAGTTATTTGAACACTCCTACCTAAAGAGGTGAGAAAAATAATCCAGATACTGACTTTAAATAACTTTCTCAATACAGATGACAACTTTCTAACTGCATTGTTTATCAGTTGGAAATAAAGATGGCAAAAAGGTATTATCATTATTAATATAGTCATATTTTCAAGAAATAATTTTTTTCTACGTGGTTGAAGGGGAAAATGCAGAATTGTAAAAGTTTTTGTTACATAGTTTCATAGTCTGGCTGAAAAAAAGACAAAAGTCCATCCAGTTCAGCCATTAAAAAAAAAAAAAAAAAAAAAAAGTTATGATCCTACACCCACAGTTGATCCAGAGGAAGCAAAAAAAAAAAACCCCAGCAAAGCTCGATCCAATTTGCTCCTGCAGGGAAAATTCCTTCCTGATCCCCCGAGAGGCAATCGAATATTCCCTGGATCAACTTTACCTATAATTGATACTTGATAATCCAGTTATATTATATAATTATAATATTATATAATTATAATTGATAATCCAGTTATATTCTGTGTATCCAAGAATCCAGTACTTTTTTAAAGCAATCCACCGAGCTGGCCAGGATCAACTCTTGAGGGAGTCTATTCCACATTTTCACAGCTCTCACTGTGAAGAAACCTTTCCGTGTTTGGAGATTACATTTCTTTTCCTCCAGACGTAAAGAGTGCCCCCTTGTCCTCTGTGATGACCTCAGGGTGAATAGCTCTACACCGAATTCACTTGTATAGCCCAAATGTTTATATTTAGTTTGAGGAAATTTATTTTCATTTCTTGTTCTGCAGACTCCACAGAAAACAGGAGACATTTTCTAGAAAGGTAGAGGAATTCTCTACTTAGAAAGCTGTCACTTGAACAGGGGTGAAACTGGAAGAATTCCCCTCTTTTCTTGTTCTGGAGACAAGGGTAAAATCCATTGGTGAAGACCAATGGTTTGAATTACAATTTGTAGAAAGTGAATGTAATAGGAAGGGTTCATCTACCCAGATAGCATTGAAAGCTCAACAGAGGCAGCAGCATATCCTCAATGTGTAGCAGCACTATCCTCATTGGTTCAAATCCCAACCATGACACTACCTGCATGGAGTTTGCATGCTCTCCTTGTGCCTGTGTGGGTTTCCTCCCACACTCCAAAGACATGCTGGTAGGTTCATTGGCTCTTTTCTAAATTGCCCCTAGTATGTGTATGTATGAATGTGAGTTAGGGACCTTAGTGTCATGGTGAGAGGTTAGGTTCAGAGACCAGTAGCTATAGCAGCAGACCAACCAACAGGATAGGTAAACATGCAGGTAACCCTGGGAAATGACACAGGCTCACCTGAGGTGCGGAGTCTAAGCACTAACCGGTATTCACCAGAGCTCCTGATGGTGGAGATGGATTTTGCTGCGTGTTAGTACCAGATCGCAGTTCTCAGGATCACCCCACAAGGAAGTGATCAAGCCAGGATCCAGTAGCAGATATGGCAGGTAGGGATCTAGCAGAAGCGTAGTCAGTAAACAAGCCAAGAGTTGGTAACAAGCGGTAGCAGGTTTGGATGAGGCAGAATCGTAGTCAAGGAACAAGCCAAAGGTCGGTAGCAAAGGTATGGACTGCAGCAGGAGAGACAAAGTAAGATACTGGCTGGAGAAGCCACAATAATCTGGCAACCAAGAAGTGCAGAGACATGGTTTAGATCAAGAAGTTCATGGGAGGAGCAAGGAGTTCAAGGTTCATCAGAAAACAAGGCACAAGGCCGGATTGTCCAATAGATCAGGCAGAATGTTGTCCAGCATCTCAGGTAGCTCAGTGAGAAGAGTTACTGCCTGACACAGTTGAGGTCCCAGGTTCAAGTTCAGGCCCTGACACTTAGATTGTATGCTCTGTTGAGGGTTAGGAACCTTAGATTGTATGCTCCATTGAGGGTTAGGGACCTTAGATTGTATGCTCCATTGAGGGTTAGGGACCTTAGATTGTGTGCTCCATTGAGGGTTAGGGACCTTAGGTTGTATACCCCTTGAGGGTAAGGGACCTTAGATTGTACACCTCTTGAGGGTAAGGGACCTTAGATTGTTGAGGGTTAGGGACTGATGTGAATGCACAATATGTGTAAATTGATGGTGCTATATAAGTACCTGTAATAATAAAATGTATTCAATATGTGTCTGGCACACATGCCCCAAAAGAGATGGAACCCATTGTTCTCTCACGCACACTGCACAGATTGAGAATTCAGGTCGTCACAGCTTTCCTATGGTCTATACTTCAACCCTTTCAAAGCAGTCTCCAGCACAGGTTCCCCTCACTGAGCTGTCATCATCCTTGTTTTTGGTCATTAGGACCACCAATGTTGTGCTTGCCCCAGCATTCACAGGATGGACCTTCCTCTGTCCACTCCAGCTCCAGATCCCTACCCCCACCCTACTGCCACCCTGTAAGGTAAGGGAGGGCTCTGAAGGACACCTTGGTGTAAGACAGACTTTGATGAGGACTCTAAAGTAAGAGGAACTCTAACAGAGACCCTATTGTAAGAGGGAACTCTGATGACCCAGATGCAAGAAGACTGTGATGGGTATTATGATGTTAGGGTAGGCTCTGATGGGGACTTTGATGTAAGAAGGGCTTTGATGGAGACTTTGATGTAAAGGTACACTCTGATGGAGATCTTGATGTAGTAGAGCTCTGATGGGGACCCTCATGGGAGGACAGACTCTGATGAGCACCATTATGCAAACTCAGACTATGATGTGAAGAGGGGATACCTGCTGTAAAGGTTGCAAAGGTCAAGACATCCAGTGCCTGAAGCAGCAAAGCAACCCAAAAATATCAGTGAACCTCCACCATGTTTGACTGTAGGGACCGTATTCTTTAAAGACCTCATTTTGTTTTCTGAAACCAGTATAATGATGAGCTTTACCAAAAGCTGTAATTTTGGTTCATTTCTCCACAGTGGGGTCTTCCTGGGTCTCCTAGCATAGCGTCCCTTTTCATTCCGATGGCAACGTATAGTGTGAGCTGACACAGTTGGACCCTGAGCCTGAAGGTCAGCTTGAATTTGTCTGGAAGTTGATCGAGGTTCTTTATCCACCATTCGAATAATCCTTTGTTGCAATCTTTGATTATGTTTTTTTCTTTCGTCCACGTCCACGGAGATTAGCTACAGTGCCATGTGCTGTAAACGTCTTGACAATGTTGCGCACAGTGGACACAGGAACATTACAATCTGTTAATAGCTACAGGTGAGTTTAATTCCAATTTACAGGAGCATCACAAACTTGGAATGCAATTATTTCTTATCAATTTGAGAAGGTGCCAATAATTTTGTCCTCTTCATTTTTGAGGTTTTGCATGGAATGTGTCAGATTTGTCTTTTTGTTTCTCCACTTTTTTGTGTCATACCAATACAAACAAAATACTTAAACATGAGAATGTCAAAACATTTGTAATTGCAACAATTTTTTGGGTGAAGTGGTGCATTATCTGACAGGGGTCCAGGGGTGCCAATATTTTTGGCCATGACTGTATATATACGGGCAGCACAGTGGCTAAATGGTTAGCACTTTTGCCTGGCAGTACTCGGGTCATTGGTTCAAATCCCAACCGTGGTACCACCTGCCTGGAGTTTGCATGTTCTCCCTGTGCCTGCGTGGGTTTCCTCAGGGTACTTCGGTTTCCTCTCACACTCCACAGGTTAATTGGATCCTGTCTAAATTGGCCCTAGTATGTGTATGTATGGCTGTAAGTTAGGGACCTTAGATTGTACGCCCCTTGAGTGTTAGGGACCTTTGATTGTACGCCCCTTGAGGGTTAGGGACCTTAGATTGTACACCCCTTGAGGGTTAGGGACCTTAGATTGTATGTCTCTTGAGGGTTAGGGACCTTAGATCGTACGCCTCTTGAGGGTTAGGGACCTTAGATTGTACGCCCCTTGAGGGTTAGGGACCTTCGATTGTACACCCCTTGAGGGTTAGGGACCTTAGATTGTACTCCCCTTGTGGGTTAGGGACCTTCGATTATATGCTCCTTGAGGGTTAGGGACCTTCGATTATACACCCCTTGAGGGTTAGGGACCTTAGATTGTACGCCCATTGGGGGTTAGGGACCTTCGATTGTACGCCCCTTGAGGGTCAGGGACCTTAGATTGTACGCTCCTAGGGGTTAGGGACTGATGTCAATACACAATACATATATAAAGTGCTGCGTAAATTGATGGCACTGTAATAAATAAATATAGTGTATCACAATATTGGTGCTGGCAGTTGTTCTATCCAAGTGCAGATTTACTATTTGGATTTTTAGACAAAAGAATTTGATGGATACTAAAAATTGTTGAGCAAGTTGTTGACATTATGCCATAAGTTTTAGGCGGGAAGTATTTTAGTATGTAGTTGAGATCAAGAAGATGAAACAATTTGAAACTAACTGTAGAAAGTATTTTCTTGAAAGAGGAGTTAATGCTTCTAGCAGAGGTGGTGAGTCAATAAACAGTAAATTAATTTAAATGTACTTGAAATAAACATACCGTAGGTCTATACTCCAACTAAAAGCTTTAAAAAAAAGGCAAACTTGATGTACTAATTGATTAGTGGTGGGCAGGAAAACCTTAAAATCCAAATTGCACAGGACCAGAGTTGGAAACTACGGCAGAGAGATCTCACTGGTACAGTTTTAAAGACATATAAGAAACCAGAGGCCCATGAAACCCACCAAGCTCCATTGGTAACCAAAATATCACTTTTGAGAGGATTGACCCTTTGAAGAACAGCAATACAGATGCATTTGATTTGTTAATCTCTTTCTTCACTTAGAATGTTATGGAGGGATTCAACCAAACATCTCCAGGACGGTTCATCCTCCTTGGCCTATCTAACATTCCATCTCTCCAGGTAATCTGTGTCCTCTTGTTTTCTGTGATGTACATAATCACATTGTCGGGAAACCTTCTACTGATCACTGTGGTGAGGATCAACCAAAAGCTACAGACCCCAATGTACTTTTTCCTAAGCAACCTCTCCTTTATCGACATTGGTTTCTCATCCACTATTGTTCCCAAAATTCTCGTAAACACTCTGGTCAAGGACAGAAGCATCTCCTTGTTGGGATGTGCAATGCAAATGTTTTTTCATTTGGGTTTAGGAGGAACAGAGTGTGTTATTTTAGCCGTCATGGCATACGACAGGTTTGCTGCCATCTGCAGACCTTTGCACTACAACACCATCATGAATAAAATGTTGTGTGCCAGTTTAGTTGTAGGGTCATGGAGTATTTGCTTCCTAAACTCTGCCATCCATGTTGCCCTCACCTTTCAACTGCCCTTCTGCAAGTCCCACCATGTCAACCACTTCTTCTGTGAGGTACCACCTTTTCTTCGAATGTCCTGCCGAGACACTTTTTTTTAATGAGATAGGCATGTACATCTCCGCAGGAACTCTTGGCATGTTTTCTTTCTACTTGACTCTCTTCTCATATGTCCACATCATTTCCACCATCCTGAAGATCAGATCCTCACAAGGAAGACATAAAGCTTTCTCCACGTGTGGTTCCCACCTGACTGTGGTGGTTCTCTACTATGGGACAATTCTTCTTATGTATCTGAGACCCCGCTCTACTTATTCTCCTGAACTAGACAGAACCCTGTCCATTTTCTACACGGTAGTGTCACCAATGTTGAACCCCATGGCCTACAGTATGAGGAATAAGGACGTCAAAAACACAGTTAAAAGAATACACATAAGAAATAAAATATTCTGTAAAACAAAATGTTGATTTGCATTTCATGACATAATTGCACAAGTGATCATTAACCACTTCCCGTCCGGCCCATGTACATAAACGGCTGGACAGGAGCAGTGCAGAAGCGGGTGGCCATTTATAAACATCCCCGCTTCCCTTCTTGTGTGCGCTCTATGTGGGCGCGCAGCACTGCGATCCAGTGCCCACTGTGTCCAGCACCGTGAACACCGATCGTTGTACGGGACCTCTGTGTGAGGTCCCGATCATGTGATCACTGATTGGCCACGCGGACTGACAACTCATGGGGTCCCTGGGCAATAGGGGATCATGGGGCCCGTGTCCTTGCCCAAACTCAAAAAAGCCTATGAAAAAGGTACCAGGGGCATCTCATGGGGCCCCCTACTGACCCCGGGCCCTCGGGCAGTGCCCAAGTTTCCCAATGGTCAGTCCACCCCTGCTTCTGACATTATTGCTTACTTGTGAAATCTGTGAATGATCACAGAGGTCACATGGTACAGCCTTGTACCATGTGGCAAGCTGTGACCAATGACAGCTCACACAGTATTTCTCAATGGCTGCAAGAATGCAGCCAGAGAGGAGGAGAAATTATTGCTTTTGCAGCCTTTATGGGTGTGTAAAAGCAATCAGTGTAAAAAAAAAAAAAAAATCTTCACCACCCCCCAGAAGTAGTACAGTGTCACCATGGTACTGCTACAGTGATGGTATGTTAAAAAAAAAAAATAATAATAATATTAAAAAAAAATGTAAAAAAAAACATTTTGAAAAATTATAATTTTTGGTTATAAACTAATTTGGGTTATTATTTTTTTTTTTCCTAAAAAGATAACTGAATAAATTTTGGCTAGGATTTATGAAGAAAGATTATTTATTTGCAAGATTTTATAAGAAAAACACTATTTTTAAAAATTTGTGAACTTTTTCATTTATTTAGCAAAAAAAAAATAAAAATCCCAGTGGGAATAAATACCACCAAAGTAAAGTTTTATGTCTCAAAAAAGTGCTAAAAAATTCATATCGGTAGTGTTGCATGACTGCGCAATTGTTATTCAAAGTGTGATAGCGCCAAAAGCTGAAAATTGGCCTGGACAGGAAGGGGGTGAAAGTGTCCGGACTTGATGTGGTTAAGGGTAAAAGTACTTCTAGAGTCTGTATTATACAATATAGGTTCACAATATACACAAAGTACGCAAAGTAATACTTGGACTTGGAATTCAAGGACTACCACTACTAACCTTCTTGCTAACAGGTTTGAAATCTGGCTCCCATACTGACCCTCCAAACTTCTTCTAGTCACCCTAGGAAGATCAATTAATATAGAGTAGTTAACATTTGAATATAGGCCCACTGTTGTGTCCTCGATACACATTTCCATGCGTAACGCGACATGCAGCTAAACCTTCCTTCTCTGCAGCAAGCCAGACTGAATGCAACCTTGAAGCTTTTATAACAAAACAGTGTGGGTGAAACAAAAAAAAAAACAGTTAAGAAATACATACAATGAAAGAATGTACAGAAAAAACAATGAACAGTGAGGCTATAGATGGCAATAAGTGATTCTCACCAGCGATGCTGCCTTTAGGGGATGCAAAGGGATGCCAGTTTTAGTCTAAAATGTGCTCTGATAGCTGGCTCTTTCTCTCCCAGTTTCTAGATTGAGTTTGAGTTCCCAAGATGCATCTCTTTCCTTTTCTCGGAATTATGGGAATTTTTATTAACTCTTAACTCTTATTTAAACAGTCTCTAGTTTCTTTAAAACAGTAAACGTATTAATGGCTCCACCTAGTGGTCAAATTTGATATTGCAGACAGGACAGGCATAATATATTCCCCTGCTGGGTGCAGAACACTCACTTTAAATAAGAATTCCAAAACAGAAGTAAAAATACCATTGTAGGTCAATTATGTAAAATGTATGTCCAGAATTTTGTTTTCTTAGTTTTGGATAGTGTGGCAAAAAGTAAGAACCCTTTTCAGGTTTTCCTGCTATCTGGGGCTTCGTTAGAGAGATTTCCTCTACCTTTTTGTCCTACCGACATTGTTTTTGCCAGATAGGAAATAAGGCGAACACTCCAACAGCAACAAATACAGGGAAAGGCTAGAACCTCTTTCAGATTCCTTTTGGGGTCTCAGTTCCTCCTATTGCAGATTTTCCCTCACTTCTCGTCTGGTTAATCAGTTGACAAGAGAGCGAGGGTAAATCTCTCTACCGGAGCCCCTGGATAGCCGTTAAAATTGGACAGGAGTTCAAATCCTCACTTTATCTAAATGTAGAAAAAAAATTTTTTTGGCATGACATACACATTAAAAATCATTAAATACATTTCTAATACAATAAGTTTAAACGCTTTAATTTTTTTTTCTTGGCTTCCTGTAATATCCCACATGGAAGAAAAATATATTTTAAATATATTTTTTAAATATTCTCCCCACATGTCCTGGTGATCTTGGTGTCCTATGGATCAATAACCTATATGTACATATTCATCATTCATCATGTGTGGCCAACCCTTCTTCTTGACGCGTGTTACGTGGTGGCGCCCATATGGAAGAAAAATATATTTGAAATATGTTTTAAAAATATTCTTCCCAAAGATATTGACATATATTTGAAATACTACAATTTTGGCCATATTCAATATATTTATATATATATATATATATATATATATATATATATATACTGTATGTTTAAATGCATTTTTATTACAAAATATATGCAAAATATTTTAAAAAATACATTTTCAAATATACTGTATGTCTTTAAAAATACATTTAATCTACATTTTTGGAATGCATTTACAAATATGTGTACAAATATATGTTAAAACAACTTTTTCATATGTTAAAAAAAATCTGAAGAATATATTTAAAAAAAAAATATTTTTAAAAATATATTTTTTAAAATATGTTCTTTAGATTTTTTTAACATACAGGTGAAACTCAAAAAATTAGAATATCGTGCAAAAGTTCATTTATTTCAGTGCAGCAACTTAAAAGGTGAAACTAATATATGAGATAGACTCATTACATACAAAGCAAGATAGTTCAAGCCGTGATTTGTCATCATTGTGATGATTATGGCTTACAGCTCATGAAAACCCCAAATCCACAATCTCAGAAAATGAGAATATTCCATGCAATCAATAAAACAAGGATTGTACATAGAACAATATCGGACCTCTGAAAAGTAGAAGCATGCATATGTACTCAGTACTTGGTTTGGACCCCTTTTGCAGCAATTACTGCCTCAATGCGGCGTGGCATGGAAGCTATCAACCTGTGGCACTGCTGAGGTGTTATGGAAGACCAGGATGCTTCAATAGCGGCCTTCAGCTCTTCTGCATTGTTCGGTCTCATGTCTCTCATCTTTCTCTTGGCAATGCCCCATAGATTCTCTATGGGGTTCAGGTCAGGCGAGTTTGCTGGCCAATCAAGCACAGTAATCCCACGGTCATTGAACCAGGTTTTGGTGCTTTTGGCAGTGTGGGCGGAGCCAAGTCCTGCTGGAAAATGAAGTCGGCATCCCCATAAAGCTCGTCTATTCTTATCCATTCAGTTGTATCCCACCCTTGGTGATTGCATGGACTGTCACTTGTAAATGACTTTTTCCATGAATTATCTTAGCAATTATTTTACAGGGTAGGTTTCCAGGTTGTTCCCCAACCCCTACCATGCTGGAGATCCTGCATGGCCAGGGATGAAACTAGGACAATTTAGACAGGAGCCAAGTAACCTACCAGCATGTTTTTGGAGTGTAGGAGGAAACCAGAGTACCCAGAGGAAATCCACACAAGCACAGTGAGAGCATGCAAACTCCATGCAGGAGGCACCATGGTTGGGAATTGAACCCATGACCCATTTACTGCATGGCAGACGTGCTAACCTTAAGCCACTGTATATACATATACAAACATATACTGTATGTGGAAATGCTTTTTTTTATATATTACAAAATATATGACAAATATTTTTAAAAATATATTTTTTTTAAATATATTCTTCAGATTATTTTAATATAAAAAAGTTATTTTAACATATATTTTTACATATATTTGTAAGTGCATTCCAAAAATGTAGATTAAATGTGTTTTTAAAGACATACAGTATATTGAAAATGTATTTTTAATAATATTTTTTATATATTTTGCAATATATAAAAAAAAGCATTTCAACAAACAGTATATATTTTGAAATATATTAAATACGGTCCAAATTTTTGTATTTCAAATATATGTCAATATATTTGGGAAGAATATTTTTTTAATATATTTTTCTTCCATGTGGGTCCCCAGACCAAATTTCAGCTTTCCCCCTGGATCGACGAGAGTTCCGCTTAGCCATCATTCTGCTATTGGCTGGGCGGGAACAGGTTAAAATAGTTTTTTTTTTTTAACTAGCTATTAAGTGTATCGGGGAAATGTTTATGTATTATATTGTATTGAACTGATCACTGGTCCTAGGATATTTACATCTGCAATTTTAAGTGGCATTTTGTTCAAGCAATAAACTTAAAGTGTCACTAAACCCACAACAGTACAATCAGTCTGTAGATGCAGTAAAGCATGCTTGT